CCGTGGCGGCGACGGCGGCGACGGCGGAGCAACAGCCAGGGGAAGGTGGGGGCAAGGACTAGTCGACGGTGTGAGCTTGGGGCCGGGGCTGGCGCTCTTGCAGGCGGGGGAGGGGGGGGGGGGGGGTTGATCCACCGTGCCGCGGCGGCAGGCTACGCCTCGTAAGGGGAAGCATGGTTGAGTGAGTGCGTGCGGAGAGAGATTTGTGCGCACCGGGAAACGAGTGTGAATTTTGCTGATGGGCAACGCCAAACCCTCTCTCGCTCTCTCTCTCTCTGGGGCGCGGGTGGGAGGAGGGGACCCGCGCGCACGCGCCGCGACGCGAGGGGGGCCTGTGGAGTGCATGCAGGAACTTACGGCCGCCTCCCCCGCCTCACCTGTTGCTTGGCATGTGCTGATGGAAGTTTTGCATGGTATAGGGCTTAATAGTAAAACCTACGTACTGTCTATTGTATGGGCGTTAGTATCACAGTCTTCAACCAATACACGACGGAGGTGTATAGGTGTAAGTGTGGCCATAATAAACCCTATACAATCTAAGTATTGGTTTTAGTGTACCCCACCAAAATCCTTTCAAATAGACCACCCGTCTACCCCAACTCACGACTTCGGCCTTACCGAGTATTGGAGCAGCATTGCATCTGCGTGGCCCCCTTGCCCCAACAAGAGCGGGGGCTCCGTAGCTGCACCGCGCACGGACCGGCTGGTGGTATTGGCAGGCTGTCTTTGATGTCGTGCTGCGACCTGGCCTGTCTGGCAAAGTGCGATCGGAGAGAGCAGCGTTCTGTGTGTGCCGTCGTCTGTCAAGCGATACTAGGAGTTGAAAGTTCGAGGGCGGGGTACCGCGTGGGTTATAAGGTTAGAGGAGGGGTTGACGGGGGCTTTGGCCTTCTAGATAGTCTACAACAAAGGAGTGGAGAATGCTGCGGTTTGTTCGGTTCGATGGTCAGCCACGTGGTGCGACCGTGTTTATTCCGAATCGGGATACATATAGTGTTTGCTGCTTGGGCGGGAGTTGTTTGCTACTTGGGCGTGTACATTTTTTAGTTTTTTTCCTCGTACAGAAGTCATACGTGCATGTTGTTTTTGTGGCCCCGCTGATCCGAGGGACGTGCGGCAAGTTTGCGGTGTATTGTGTTTTGTCTTGTTGCGTGAAACCAACCGCGCTTTTCTGTCAGAAACAAGTTGTCGTGTGTGTGTACAAGTACTCTCTCGTGCTACTACTGCGGTACGCAGTGTGTGTCGTGCTGTTGCTGTAGAAGTGTTAGGTTGATGGTGTTGTTACGTACGTACGTAAAAAATTGTAGTCGTCTTTAACATTGAAGTTGTCTTTGTTGAAGGTGTTTTTTTGTTTTTTTCTTTGGGTTATTATTTGTTTCGAGGCATCATCCTCCCTTTGCAGTGGCGGTCATTTCGTTCAGGGAAGGACCGTCTCTGTGGTACATGGGATGTTCCCGGCATGCTGCAACAGCAGGCGTGGGGGGTGTACGGTTGAGCCTTCGCCCAGCGTGTGCTCTACACTAAGGGTTACACGGCTTTAGAGTGCAAGAACGGTGTTGTTGGGAGAATTGTCGCCGACGTAAGACACACCGGTACACCCGGCATTCAACAGCTTGCGCTGTGTTTGCTCGTTAGAGAGGTCGGCGCGGTGTGTAAATACATCCGGTGATTGTATGGATATCCTGATGTATCCCTAGCTTTACGCTGTACGTCGTGTCCTGTGTGGTTTTTGGTTACACCCTGTTGACAAAATGTCATTACTTACGCCCAGGTTACCTCATCATATGCATGGGTTTGCCAGCATTTTGACCGAGCAAGTTAATCACATGTCTCGAGTTGTTGCGGACGGCAGGGTGCACCTTGGATCATCTCGATCGATGCCCCCAACCCGATCTGTATGTACCACTCTGTGGATGTCTGGCGAAGAAAATCTCGGCGCTGTCTGTCGTGAAAGGACCACTTCCGCGTCGTGGGAAGACTCCAATCTCCGAGAAACGCGAAAAAGTGGACGGTATCAGGCACGCATGATACGCAAGGAAGGGGAGACCGTAGAATAGAAGGAGGCGTGTTCGCGGTTGAGATGCGACAACTCCTGGAACATATATTCGTCCATCTGCGCCATGCGCGCGGTCAATGCTACAGTTCTACATGCTAGCACACGACGATCCGAGAGAGTGCCTATAGTCAGAGAACCCACCGTCATGAATACTAAGACTACATTTACTGGTGCACGTCCAGTGCCCCCCCCTCCCCCCCCCCCCCCTCTATGATGCCCCATCACACTGGTATCTATTACAGTATGCACATTCAGCACGCGGACCCCAAAAACAGGGGGCGGGCGGAAAACCGCTGTTACTACAGGGTGCACGAGAACCGTCGTCCTAGCCACGCCTTGCATGTATCCGCTCGAAAATACAGGACACCAGCCAGCCGTGAAGTTGCTCCGCGTCTTGACTGCCCCGACCATAAAAAAAAAACACAGAAAAAAGAATATGCGTCTACACAACAACCACATCGTGCATGCATATCCTTAGACCACGGTACGTACACAACGGCTGTGTCGACGCCCACCTTCGACGACTCAGCCTTCCTCACGGTGCTGATCAAACGACATGCAGGGTATTTTGGTAGTACAAAATACATTTTTCGCCACGGATGACACAGCACTGACTGACAGCAGTTGGCTTAGGCTGGCCCACTGTTTTACATCCAACGGAAGTCAGAAGGTCTTCACAAGGAAATAAGCCAGAGTAGTATCGCATCGCGTGCTCGCGCGGCCCCGACCGCCGGGAACTTGGCGTGCCGACCAGCAGCACTCTAGTAGCGTCGGCGCTCCGTGTGTCAGCCAGGATCCTACGGGGGAGCGTGGAAGACAAGGCCGCCGGCTGTACTGCCGCGCTTGGCGTGGCACTCAAGTTTCGACGGCAAAAACAAACGCCATGTTGACCGAAATCGGCAAAAAAAGAAAGTTGCTACTACGTCGACACCTTCATCACACTCGCTCCGTTCTCTTCTCCGCCCTCCCCCCCCCCTAGGTTCGCGCGAGGACACAGCAGCCTTTCGTAGCAGCGATGAAGAGCGACGGCGCCTGGACTACACCGGACACCACGTTAGCCGCCTTGCTCCGAGACCCAAGCTAAGCTTGCTAGCAGGCTGCGCCCAGTCCCCAGCCTTGCCCCACACTTACTTCAGGGACCTCCGAGGTCATCTCAGAAACTGCGTGGGCCCGAAGTCCTTCACGAAGACACCTCCTGTTGTCCTTCTCCCCTCCCCCGCCCAACCAAGGTGGACTCCGCCTGCTTCCGCTTCCGTGTTAATGTGCCGACTTCTTGCGCGAGGGCAACAAAGCAAGTGTTTCAACACACACAAAGCGAGCGGCAAGCGGCCAAGCCAAAAGAAAGCACCCGTGTGTGCAGTTCATTCCGAACTATCTTCGACTCGTGCCCCGGTGTCCCCCAACCCACCCGCGTCAGCAGCAACAACCCGCGTGACGCGCCATGTGCGAAGACGCACCGCCGCGCACCACCTTCTTTTTATTTCGAGGGCTACTACTGACGGAGGCGCCGCGGGCAACAACACCCCCGCCGCTGCAGTAGTCCGGGCGGTGCCCCTTCGAGACGTGGTCGGAGGGAGTGCTGGCGAACTCGTCCGCCGACATGCACACCACCAGGCCATCGGAGGTGGTGTACATCACCCTCCGGAACCTCCACAGGTGCTTGCTCAGGAACAGCCAGCACCGCCGGCAGGGCCTCGAGATCCTCAAGGAGTCGAACGTGAAGCGCACGTTGACGAGGTCGAAGCCCTCCGAGCGTGAGCGCCTCCCCGCCCCCTCCCGCCCGTCCTCCCCGCTTTGTCGTAGCAGCTGAAGAGGGCCCGGAGCGCGGCCACCTCGCTGTGCACGCTGGGCCGAGGACCCGCGCCGAAGCTGTTGAACCCCCAGGCGACGACCTCGCCGGTCCTGGCGATGATCGTGAGGTGGTTGTACCCCGCCCCGTGAGCCTTAGTCTTGCTGTAGCCCTTCTTCTTCTTGTTCTTGTCGCGGGGATAATCCGTGTAAGGGTTGTTGTTTGTCGTATCTTTCCCCCTGCCTTGCCCCCACCCGACGGAGGGTTATTGCCGGTCGTTGTAGGACAACAAATGGATGCGAACGCGGTGGAATTGAGAGAGAGATAGATAGAGAGAGGGAGAGAGGGAGAGAGAGAGAGAGAGAGAGAGAGAGAGAGAGAGAGAGAGAGAGAGAGCAAGATGATTGAGACAACAGCAGCAGCAGAGCTTTTCTTGGCTGGGGGTCTGATGTCGGAGCCATTTCGTGTGACCAATGTGGGCAAGGGAGGTATCGATCTCATCACCAGTACACGGGGGCTTCATTTTTCTTCGGCAGCAAGGAAGGGGCAATACTAAATATCAAGATGGTCTATCATACCATACATAATACCACGGATTGTACACCGGGACGGATGAACAATAGCGCACCCCGGCCCCCACGGAGGCCTGTTATTATTGTTGCTGCTTTTGTTGTCGTCCTTGTCTTCACGTTAAAAATCGTTACAGACTCTATCCACCTTCTATATCCATGCTGGTCCACGGGAGGCCGGTGCGGAAAAAAGAAAACACATTGAGCCAAGGCATGCCTCGCGTCAACCCTCACGAATGTGCTATTGTAGGACGTCCGTGTGTTCCGTATCCGAGTTAGCCTTCTTCGCTTTTGTCGGACATCATAATAGAATAACCGGCGAAACGCACATGCCATTAACAACGAAATCGCAGGTATTGTGGTTGGAGGAGGAACGCGAATTTTCTCATCGTCCACCCTCAAGGACACCGTCGGTAGTCGGTACTACCGGTAGAATCAGATGCTGAAAAAAAAAAAAAGTATCCGTGAGCCAAGGGCGCACAAAAAAAAATTTCCGACACCTAACCCCCAAAACGTTTTTTTGGGGCCCTCCGGGGGGGGGGGGGGGGGGCGAAAAGGACCGTTCCCCCCCCCCCAA